ATATATATATATACATATATATATATATCATATATATGTATATATAAACATAATGTATTCCTCTGACTTGAAATTTTTCTCTTCAAAAATCATTCTAATCCAAACACTTTGCTATTTAGCATAAGTAGTCCTACAAAACCTGGTTCTATGCCAGGAGTCCTTGGGTAGTGCAAATGGTTAATGTTCTTGGCTATTGCCAAAATGTTGGAGGTTTGAGTCCACCAAGAGATGCCTTGGAAGAAAGGCCTGATGATCTACTTCCAAAAAGCTAGCCATTGAAATTCTATGGAGCAGAATTCTATTCTCACACACATGGGTTCACCATAAGTCAGGGACTATTCACTAGCAACTCTGCAAAGGCCTCCAGCATTTGAATACAAGATTGTAATATTACTATAAATATCTTTATACAAATTATCCCCAAATCATAAAGATTACTCCAGTTCATACTTTTCAGGACACTATTAAATACTGTCTTCCTGAATTCAAGAAAGTCATATCTCACAGGGAATTTTTTAATGCACTCTGAAATTTGGTAAATCAAAACTTATTTTAAAATCAAAAGAAGACGTGACTATTTAGAAAGCTAATACCAAGGTAAATTACTTTATAAAAATAAATAATAATAATAATTCTATATTCATGTGTGTGTATGTGTGTGTGTGTGTGTGTATAGGCATTTGTGTGTATGCATCTGTATGTGTGCATATACATACATATATCTCCCATTGGTTAAAGAAAGGAATCCTAATGCTATCTTCATATGACGCCTTTTTCTATGTGTGCATACTCCAGAGTAATGGAGGCATTCGGAGCATGGCCATCTGGCACTTTGGTGAATTACTCAAGGACATGAATCAGTACACATGGATGCTCAATGATGTGGTCTTGGAAGTCTTGGTGCCTCTGATCCTGTTTTTGGGAGATACAGAATTAAGAGTAGTTAGAGTAAGTCCTGCAGTCTTATATTTCTTAGTTTTGTTGAAAATCACAGTGTTTTATGTAACCATGGATAAACACATCCTCACTGACATTCTTCTATGTCACAGGCATGTAAATATACATTAAAAATCTATACCTCACAGTTAAACTGGTCAACATCATATTGGCTCAACGGCAGTAATTACAATTTTGAGATGGTGGTGCTTAGCATCTGCAACAATCTTGTAAGTGACTCTTCAGTTTTTGCTACCATAAGAATTAAAGAAAGAACTTAAAAGACATCCAAAGTGATGAAAGTGTGGTGGGGACAAGGGTTGATCTTGGAGAAAGAATGTAGGGAAAAAAATAACAAATAGGTGATTATAACCAGGGCTAGAGACCACAGAAAAGTGGACTTCTCCACTTCCTCCTCTTTAACATTGATTATCTATCTTGTCTTCTCCTTCCATTAACCCACCTACTTTGCCTTCCTCCAACCCACCTATTTTGAGGTATGGATGGGTATAAAGGTAGGAAGAGTATTTTAGATCACCAAAATGAAAATTGGAATTACTTTGCTACTGCCTTATGAACTGCTCCTCTGGAAAACAGCATAAACTGGAATGATAAAGAAATGGGGATGGAAGAATGCTAACCAAAGTTTGAAAACACAAAGTTCGGTTTGGGAATCATAGAGTAAACAGAATAATACTTGTAAGCAACAGTAAATTTCATACATATAAGTTCTCAAGTTTTAAAACTGGTCCTGATTTTGGGTAAGTAACCAAGTTGTTTTCTTTTGAAGCCTCACTAGATGGAGTAAATGTGCTTTTTAAACATTTAAGGATTTTTTTTTTTTCCTTTTTATTCCTAGTACGTTTCTCACTGGAGATACATTACAGCTTTGATATCTGATACCTTAGGATTTCTGAGGAGCTCCCATGCATATCTGAGGAGAGGGGCAGTTATCTTAACAGGTAAATATAATTCAACATTCATTTCTTAATATGTTTATCTAAAAGAGGCACAAAATCGGGTAGCAGTTGCTCCCTTGAAAAATAAATAAATAAATAATCTTTGTTTATGATAGACAGCACCCATCATGGTGATATCTATGATGACTAGAAGTTAATATATATGATGGAAAGAAGGTTCTATTTTATAATACACAGTGAATATATCTGTATGATTAAATTATTATAAAAATGTATTCAACAGAATGGATTTCAAAATTTTAGATGGTGATCTAACACTTTCTATGATTCTTTTCACCTCTTAATAATCACAACCCAAATTATAAAAATAATATTTTTTTTTTTTTAAAGAGAAAAACAACTAGAAATACAAACACCATCTGTTATTACTTGAATTGAAGAAGAGGCAAGACAGGCTTTAGTATCAGAAGATGGAAGTGCTGCTCTTACAGATTCCTAAAACAGGGAGGCAGTTTTGAAACTGAATGGTTAGAGGCTGGAAAAGTTTAAGGTGCCTAGTAGTGCCTGCTAACCAGAAGGCTGGCGGTTCAAACCCACCAGCCACTCCTCGGAAGGAAGGTTGGGCAATCCTACTTCCATAGTGATACTGCCTCGGAAACCCAAGGAGGGGTCGCTATGAGTCGGGGCCAACTCGATGGCACATAACAACAACAACAACAGTAGTGAAAGCCTAGGAAGCTCTGGTGGCACAGTGCCTAAGGTAATTTGACTGCTAACCAGAAGATTGGCAGTTTAAACTCACCAGTCTCGCTCCATGGAAGGAAGATAGGGCAATCTATTTCCATAGAGATTTACCCAAGGGGGTGTCGTTATGAGTTGGAATTGACTCAATGGCAGTGAGGTTGATCTTTTTCTTTTGAATAGTGAAAGCCTAGAGTGCCTTGAAGATACTACTGTAGGAATTATGAATATCAAAGACAATTCTGATGAGGGCTCAGAAAGAAGTTAGGAGATGTCACAGACAGCAAGAAGCAGTGACAGAAAAGCAGTGGCAGCAGGTGACTGGCACCAGGCAGCACAGGAACCAACTCACAGAGAGCTCTGAGCACATGTGGAGCCCTCCTGATGGAGTGGATTGCCTCCAGGCTTGCCAACCCACAGAGTAAGAGAGATGATCACCTTCAGGCTGAGGTTTACTGGTGGAATGGAGTGCCTCTGGACAGTTATCAGTAGATCTAAAGAATTTTGTAACCCTTAGCAAAGTAAGATAGAAGCTGAGCTGGTCAAGAGATCCCAGGGGTCAAGAGGCCAAGGAACCAGGAAACATATGCTGAAGAGACAAAAAAGCAGAGAAAACAGAACTCCCTCAGTCTCAAAGGGTGGAACTAGGGTCTCTGGATGTCAAAGGGTGGGGCCATATCCTCCTAGATTTCAAAGAGTCAGCTTTTCAACAACTTAGTTCTGGAGTGTGGGGTTGCTATTCATGAGTGCCAGGGAGAGGGGCCCAGATCCACTGCCCAAAACGAAGGATGTGGGATTGCCATTCCAAAGGGACAGAAGAACAGGGCCTTTTGAGGCCAAAGCAGTGGGTTTGTCACTCAGTTGGACTAAGAGAATGGTGCATTCCAAAGATGAGGAAGCAGAGTTGTTGTCCCATTGGGTCAGCAAGACAAAGCTGAAGCCCAGGGGAAAGAAGCCTCCACTCAAAATCCAGAGGGCATGGCTAATACCCAGTCTGGAAGGCAGGCTCATTGCCCAGACGGTCTCAGAGAACAGAGGATTATTTTCAAGCTTGAAAGCCAATGTAAATTTTTCTGCAGGGTTTTAGATTCTTGGTGTTATTATCCTTTCTTTCCCTCAAATTTCCTCTATATGGGATGGAAATGTTTAACTTGTGCCTGCTCCACCATTGTGCTATGGGAACACATAATTTATAATCTAGATTTCACAGGTTCACAGGTGAAGAGGAATTTTATCCAGTATGGAATATACCTAAAGTCTTATCCATATTTGAGTTAGATGACTCAGAAGATTAGATGTTGGATTCAGAGTCAATTTAAGACTTTTGGGATAATCTGATGATGTGTTTTACATATGGCAAGGACATGAATTTTGGGGGTGCAAAGGGTGGAATGTCATAGATTGAATTATATCTCCTCCCGTCCCCCAAATTCATATCAACTTGGCTAGGCCATGATTCTCAGTATTGTGTGGTTGTTTTCCATTTTGTGATTTGATGGAATTATATGTTGCAAATCCTAACCTCTATACATGGAGTAATGGTCCTATCGGGGAGTGAGTTGTCCATTATGTTAATGAGGCAGAAATAGTAAATGTTAATGAAGATTAGGATGGAATGAAGCACCTTGCTCGAGTCACACGTTTTATCTTGCAAGAAGAGTGAAGTGAATAGAGAAGAGGGACCTCAATATCATGAAGAAAGTAGAGCCAGGAGTGGAAGGTGTCTTGTGGACCTTGGTTCCTTGTGTTGATAACCTTCTAGATCAAGGGGAATATTGATGCCAAGACACATGGACATCTCCAAGGGATGTAGGCCCACAGATGTTGAAAGGAGACAAAGACCTCCCCAGAGCCAACAGACAGAGAAAACCTTCCCCTACAGCTGGTACCCTTAATCTAGCCTTCTAAACTGTAAAAGAATAAATTTCTTTGTGGTAAAGCCATCAAGTTGTGGTTTTCTGTTAAAGCATCACTAGATAACTAAGAAACGGTTTTAAACAAAATTTGGACATCTGTAACCACAACTATAAAAGGGGGGAAAGAGCTATCAAACTGAGTAAAGTAGTTTTCTTTCCTTGTGATATCTTCATCAGTTTGATATTAGGGTAATGCTAGCCTCATAGAAGGAGTTAGAAAATGCTCCTTTTTCTTCTGTTTTTTGGAAGAGTTTGTGACAGCTTGGTAGTAAATCTTTTTTAAACGTTTGGTAGAATTCACCAGTGAAGCCAACTGTTCTTAGCCTTTTCCTTTTGGAAAGTTTTGATTATTAAATTAATCTCTTTATTTGTTATAGGTCTGTTCAGATTTTCTACTTGTTCTTGAGTTAATTTTGAAAATTCATATCCTTCTAGAAATTTGTACCTTTCACCTAACTATGTAATTTGTTGGCACACAGTTGTTTTTAGTAATATAATCATTTTGATTTCTGTAAGGTTTATGATTAGAAATTTAAATTCACATTTCTAAGTAGTTCAGAGGTCAAAGAAGAATCCATATTAGAATTTAGGAAATACTTAAACTATAATAAGAAAATATTACACATTAAAATTTGTAGATGCTGGGGAGAGTAAAATGTAAAAGAAAATATTGAAAATAATTAGGTAAACATTTTCTGAAGAGTTAGAAAAGCAATAAGGAAATAATAACATATAAATTAAATAATTAAAATAATAAATAATATCAAAATAAATAAAAATAATGATGAAATAATAGCAAGAGAAATATAAGAAAAGTGACAATAAAGGTAAAAGAAAAAAAAATAGATAACATGTGTAAAATAGAATCAACAAAACCAAATGTAGGTTATCTGAATACACCAATAAAACTGATAAACTTATGGTGACACAGATCAATAAGAATAGATGCAGTATTAGGAATAAAAATAAGAGAAAATAATTATATATGTGGAATATATATTTTCAAAAGAGGAAATACCATGAATAGATGAAACTATCAAATTCTCAGAAATGTACATCACTAAAATAGACTAGAATCAATAGAAAACACAAGCAGATTTATAACTGTCAAATAATTTGGGTTAGTAGAAAATCTTCTCCTCTTCCCCACAAGATAAACACCAAGCCTAAGTGATTTTACGGATGATGTTGTTACATGCCATCAAGGTGGCTCACACTCATACCAACCCTACATACAATAGAACACAACACTGTCTGGTCCTGCACCAGCCTCACAATCCTTGCTATACCTGAGCTGATCATTGCAGTCACCATGTTGATCCATCTTGTTGAGAACCTTCCCCTTTTTCCCTGACCCTCCACTTTACCAAGCATGATATCCTTCTCCCTTCTGACAACATGACCAAAGTAGGTGAGGCAAAGTCTGGCCATTCTCGCTTCCAAGGAGCATTACTGCTATACTTCTTCTAGGACAGATTTTACAGCTAGGTAATGGAAAAACCATTGCTATCTCAGAAGATGCAGGAAAAAAACATAATATTTAAAATCCAAACGAGAAAAACAACCAAACTCACTAACATCAAGTCAGAACCGACTCATAGCGAACCCTCCTTGGGTTTCCAAGATGCTATCACTACAGAAGTAGATTGCCCCAATCCAGTCTTGATTAAACAAACAAACAAAAAAAATCTTGAAAAATGAACTCAAAGGAAAGGGTAAAGTCTTTATCTAGTTACAGGTATAACCAAAAGTCTGTGTTTTTGTTTTTATTGTTGTTGTTATGTGCCATTAAGTCAGACCTGACTCATAGCAACCCCTCATTGGGTTTCTGAGGCGATATCACTATGGAAGTAGATTGCCCAACCTTCCTTCTGAGGAGTGGCTGGTATAAACATTATTCAGTGGTATTCTGAAATTGTCTCTTGCTGATTTATGAAAGCTTGTTGTGGACATCTTTTCCAACTCCATATTCAGTGAAATCACATTGGTAGCTGGAAATGATGGCGTGGATATGAGGTGCTATAAATCAGAGTGTTTGTTTATTGTTCCTTTTGTTTGCTTGGTTGGTTGGTTGGTTTTGAGAACCAGTTACGATATCACAAATGGTACTAGTGATAATATTTTAATATCATGTTTGAAAAAATATGGAACCAGAACTTCCAGTAAGGTGGCAGAACAGGCAGACAAGCTACACAGACCCTTTTCAACAAAGAAAAGATAAAGTAATTGACAGAGAAACAGAAGATAATCCTGGAGACCTGAGCTTTGAAAGGAAGTATACAGAAGTGGAATAGGCACCAACTAGTGGAAGAACCTGAATGAAAACAGTAGAGCTGTGGACTGTCAGCTACTCTGACAACACCAACAGCCTGAATATTTACCTAA